TCATTTTGCTCACAACAGATTTTAGCTGAGCTTGGCGATGCCTCATTAGGAGATTTGTCATTGAATTCTTCAGACTAATCAGAGACTTCTAGTGTGTGCCTCTGTTCAAGGGGGTCTTTCCGTATTTCCTATGGAAGGCACAAAGATTTAGTGTTGCATTTATCCTTTGACTCAAGTTGAGGTCCACTTACCAGTTTTAGAAAGAGGATGAAAACCCTGAGTAGAAAAAAACCTATTCTAGTCTCTTTGTACTAAATGATAAGGAATGTACCTTAACAGCTTCCCTTTGGCTGCAGTTAGAATCATAGAATCTTTGGGTTGAAAAGGACCTTTTAAGGTCATCTAGTCCAACCCCTCTGCAATGAGCAGGGACATCTTCAACTAGATCACGTTGCTCAGAGCCCCATCCAACCTGACCTTGAATGTTTCCATGGATGGGGCATTTATACTACCTCTCTACTACACTGTTGAGTGTTTCACCACCCTCATTGTGAAAAATTTCTTCCTTATGTCTAGTTTGAATCTACCCTTTTTTCGTTTAAAAACATCCTTTGTCCTATCGCTACAGACGCTGCTAAAAAGTCTGTCCCCATATCTCTTACAAGCTCCCCTTCAAGTACTGGAAGACTGCAGTAAGGTCTCCCTTGACCCTTCTCTTCTCCAGGCTGAACAACACCAACTCTTTCAGCCTGTCCTCACAGGAGGTGCTCCATCCCTCTGACCATCTTTGTGGCCCTCCTCTGGACTCACTCCAACAGGTCCCTGTCTTTCCTGTGCTGAGGGCTCTAGAGCTGGATGCAGGACTCCAGGTGCGGCCTCCCCAGAGTGGAGTAGAGGGGCAGAATCACCTCCATCGACCTGCTGGCCATGCTTCTTTTGATGCAGTCCAGGTTATGGTTGTCCTTCTGGGCTGCGAGTGCACGTTGTCAGCTCATGTCCACCAGTACCTCCAAGTCCTTCTCGGCAGGGCTGCTCTCCATCCCTTCATCCCCCAGCCTGTACTGATACCAGGTGTTGCCCTGACCCAGGTTGGCAGGCTACACACGATTTCTGATATTAAACAATGAGTTAACACAGTATTTTATTAGCTGTGCCATTTTAGTAAAAGTTGTGGTTTTGGCCATATTGTGAGGCCTGTTTGTAGATTTTTATGTTGCATCCTCATGGTTTCGGTTAATATGTTAGAGTAGAGGTGAATCTCTGGGAAGATGGGTTGCAGCAAAATTTGAAGTAAAGACTATGTATATGTACCTATATTGAATTGCATGCAATAGCTCACTGTTCAAGCTTAGCCCCAGCTGCTACTAGAAGATAGCCTAACAGTTAGTTAGCGTTTCCTGCCTGTTGCCACAAATTAGCTACCCTTAAGAGGGCCTGACTGCCCATGGCACAGAAAAATCCTCCAATCAGAGCTGCCTTTCTGCATCCAGGGGAAGCCTGCTTGGATTCCTAGGTGTTCTGTCCACAGTACTTGGGGGGAGGGACGTTTAGGAGGGAGAGAGCAAGCACTTCAACAACCCCATCTCTCAGCCTTTCTTCATAGGAGAGGTGTTCCAGCCCTCTGATCAATTTTTTGGCCCTCCTCTGGACCCACCCCAACAGGTCCATGCGTGTCTTACACTGGGGGCCTCAGAGCTGGATGCAGCACTCCAGGTGGGGTCTCACAAGAGTGGCGCAAGTGGGGGAGAATCATTTCCCTCGACTGCTGGCCATGCTTCTTTTTATGGAGCCTAGGACATGATTGACTTTCTGGGCTCCAAGTGCACATTGCCGGTTCATGTCCACTTTTTCGTCCATCAGTACCCCAAAATCCTTCTTGGTAAGGCTACTCAATCCATTCATTCCCTAGCCTGTATTGATACTGGGGATTCCCCTGACCCAGGTGCAGGACCTTGCACTTGGCCTTGTTGAACTTCCTGAGGTTTGTGAAGTTCAACAGCTTGGTGTCATCTGCAACATCCACAGCTGCGCATGGATTTAAATAATGTGTGTTTCTGCATCCTTGGATCCAATCTTTGCCTGGTGTATTTTAGTCCGCAGCTGTAGTATTTGAGTTATACTTTTACTGTCTGTATCTCTAAAAGTAGTTGGAAATGTGGTAGTTTGATCATCATCCTGCTGATGCATTCTTGTAAAGGAAATGGTGTCTTGTTTACTTAGTGTGCCAGCAGTTTGGCTCCAGCACCTGAGTACGCATGATGAACTTTTGAACCCACAGTATTGCCTGTGGGATTGATACTGTTTCAACTAAGTGAGCATTTGGGGTTTGCCTGGACATGATGTAATGAGATAACTGCAGAATCATTTGGCTTTTAACCACAGATACAGCCTTGTTTTTTAATGTACTCTATTTATCTTGGTAAAACAAAAATGCATTAATCATCAGTCTCTGCTACTTCATCAAATAGTAGAAGAATCATAGGCTGATGGGCTGACACAAAACTCCCCTGAAACTTAGTTCTCGGGAATGCCAGTGTTATTTTTAACAGTGTCCAGCAAGAGGCTTTTTGTCTGGAAGGAATCTAGAGGTTTACATTGTAGCATGTGTTCAACACATAAGCTGCTAGATAGTCTTAAAGTTCTTGTGAAGCTGTTTTCCTCTGCAGTTGAAGACGTCTGCACTCTAGTGTTGCAAGATAGAATGTGTTATAGTGATGATTTTGCTGTATAGCATAGGTAAATACAGGATTGCAGTAGCTGACAGCTCACCTCTGCTGTTTGGCTGGTGGTGGCTAGAAGATCCTGGTACATGTCCCATGTGTGGTGAGCTGACCCTGGCTGGCTGCCAGGTGCTCATCAAGCTGTGCTATCCCTTCCGTCCTCAGCTGGAGGAGAGAAAATACAATGAAAGGCTCTTGAGTCAAGATAAGGACAAGGAGAGATCACTCACCAGTTACTGTAATGGGCAAAACAGACTCGAGTCAGAGAATTTGTGGGGTCACAAGCCCTGCCAGCAAACCTGCTCCAGTAATGGGCAGGGGTTTTCTCCTCCCTTCTTAAATATGTTATCAGAGAGGTGCTAACGCGTCTGATTGGCTCAGCTTTGATCAGCAGCATGTCTGTTGTGGAGCTGACTGGCTTTGTCTCTATCAGACATGGGGGAAGCTTCTAGCAGCTTCTCACAGAAGCCACCCTTGTAGCCCCCCATCTACCAAAACCTTGCCATGCAAACCTAATAGAGTGTGCTAGCATGTGACAATTTTTTTCAGAATTCATAAAGTAAAATTGGTGACCACATCTTATTTATGTTTCTCTAAAGGGGAAATGTTGTACCCAAATTAACTGTGTCACAGAAGAAATGCGTGTTGTTTTCATAAATTTGTAAAGTATTATAAGGTTTCAAAATGGAGATTTCATTTTTTAGTTTATTTGGATATCTATCATAGGTGTGCACGAACATACTGAAATTCACATGCTAATTTAGTAAGATGTGGTGATTGTCATTGGTCATGTTAAAAAAAGAAATTGTAGGTGCTTCTGCTGCTTACCATGTATGGACAGAGCCTTATAACTTGCTGGTTTATAGTATCTGTATTAAATTGTGGTAAAACTGATGATTGATTTTGACTAACCACAATATTGTTAGGCATTTAATGGTTTCATATTACTTTGCATTTAAGTTATAGACATTTTTAAATAAGAAATAAATTTGCTTAAACACTTAGCCATTTAAAAGTCAGAGGAATACAGTGTTGAAAATACCATAGCTGTCTTTAAATCACAAGAAAAAAGTGTTGCACGGTGAGGGCAATTTAATCACCTACAAGGTACAGGTTTAGGTTTTTTTAGTTTGAATAAACAAATAATTTCCAAATAATAGAAAAGAGACTATTTAAAACCTCAATCATAAGCCATGGTAGCCTAAATTAAAGCACAGCAGTTGTCCACCTGTGAAGCATTTCCAACAACAAATGGAGATTTGATTGAATCACACTGGAAAATAAATTGTCTTAAGCTGTGGTCTTTTGTTTTGGTTTTAATATGATACTGAACTTTGATGCTGGTCACTGCATAAATTTTCAAGTAGCACCTTAAAAATACTGTAATTACATTGCAGCTACCAATTGCAAGAAGGAGGATGGAGAGGTATCTGGGGATTTGTCAAATAAATAGTTTGCCTGGGTTCTTATAAATATACATTCTTTGCCGTGGGTAGGAGATGTCTGGATGATTGAAAAGATTATTGCAGTTTGCATAGTAGTTGGAGATGACTTCAGGTGTGTGGTATGGGGAGTTGTATGTGAACGTTTTAGTTTCCTATCTTGCCTGACGATTATCGATCAGGGTCAGACTATATGAATCTCTTTTCTTATGCCAAGCAAAGTGGAGTAGCACAAAATCATTGTAGTAATTGGCTATGAAATAATTAACCAATGGCGTATATCTGTGGGGCTTAATCCAATCTCCAATAGTATTTTGGTCTCTCTGCAGTTTTATGAATACAAATTTGCACAAGTCAATACTTATTCCACATCTTAAAGGTCTTGCTTATCACAAGGGTGAGAAAAACTTAATTCTTTTATGGTAAAAAAAAAAGAAATTTCAGAAAGTGCAGATTCTACATGGCCTTGTGCCCTGAAAGAATTCTGATGGCCTCTGTTCCCCGTGATTTGAGTGCCGAAGGTCACTCCAGCAATCCCTTGTTTCTGGGGGGAGAGTTCAGTAGTGAGACCAAGACATGAATAGATTAAAAATCTCCTGAACCTCACTCCCATCCCAAAAAACACTCCTTTTGTGGTTTGAACTGATGCAGGTTAAATTCATGTTGCTTAGTTACTTCAATGGAGAAGGGGTGAGATAAGCCACTTTCAGTCTTGTCATTCCAATGTATTTTTCTTATAACAAACCTAGAGGTATATTCTTTTGAAAGAAACATGCTGTGAATTTCAGGAGGTTCTTGCCTAAAAATAGAAGAATTGTCAAAATATGGTTGATATTGCCATTTTAATTGTATCCGCATTAGAGAAGATTATTTCTTCTTTTTCTCATGCATCCCACAGGTCATAAATGTTGATGGAACAATGAGAAAAACCATCCTAGAAGATAAGCTTCCACATATATTTGGGTTCACACTGCTGGGAGATTACATCTATTGGACTGACTGGCAGAGACGAAGCATTGAAAGAGTTCACAAGACAAAGGCTAGCAGAGACATCATTATTGATCAGCTGCCAGATTTAATGGGCCTTAAAGCAACAAGTGTTACCAAAGTGTTTGGTGAGCATGAGCAATGATAGGATGGATCTGTAGTAGTTTCTAGATGGTCTTAACTTTCATTAAGCAACTGTTGATCACTTGTAATGAGAATAACTGTGGTCTCATATGTTTGAATCATGTTAAAGGAAAACTGTACCTATTGTTTGTAAAGTTGGGAAAATACAGTGTTGCAAAAGAAGTATGGGCTTCCAATTTTTAGTGACATTTGACATGAGTCTTCCACAGCTTCCACTACACTCTTTGAATTTTTGTGAGGAGAATTTTATTCCTGCCTCCAGTCTGTAGGAATCATTACTTCTGGTGCTCACAGAATTGCTCCATTTTCTGTTGCTTTTTTCTTCCAGTACAAAGTCCTAGTGATGTTCAGTTAGCAGAATGCTTTTTACTATATTGGGTGGTATAGGCAGAATTAGTGGCCATTACAATGTTGCCTTGAAGCATGTGACACTTAAATATTTAACACCTAAATCATACCTAAATCTTAATTAAATCTTGCCCTTAGCATGGGATCAGCAGCTGGAGCTCTGTGTTCTTATGCTGCATCTGCTGAAAGGTGCAGCCAGTGTTTTAGGACCTCCTAGCTTCAATAGTAATTCATGAAAGGTGCATGTTCACCACCGATCTGTCTACTACCTTGAACACTGGAGTCTGGGCATAGCAGTAAACAGATTTGTTGGTCAGCTAGTAAAATCACTGAGAATAGTTGCAACAAAATCACATAAAGGAGGTTGTCAAATTACACCCTGCCAGTACATGGATTTCCAGGCTTTCAGGAAGCTTTACTTGAAGGATAATCACGTCCTCAAGCTGCAACTTAACAGCATCAGTCAGAAATACATATGCCCTAAAAAGGGAAAATTAAAAGAAACCTGGTTGAGACTGATCTCGGAGATTTTTTTTTTGTGGTAATAGTTTTTAAATACCTAAATCCTTAGTTCCAGCAATGGAGAAAGGCGCTCATTTTTCTTTTGGTTCTTACTTTTCCTTCCACGTTGCCTCCCCACCTAGTCATGGTTGTTCACATGAAAAAACAAGTGTGAGATTGTGGTGATCTTGTTGGAACTGCGTCTGCTAATCAATCTTCTCAGTTTTCAATTAAATGGCTAGGAAATAACTGCCATTATCCAGCTCTTTTCTCACTGTTTTGTGTCATTGAACATCTGTAATAGTGATGGTTTCAAAGAGATACAAGGATGGGGTACTTGTCCAAAAATAACCAAGCTGAACACGTATGTAATTACCTGCCTTCAATGGAGGAATTTAATCTTTGTGGAAACTAGAAGGATATGTTTGTAACTGTTATTTGTACTATAGGAGGGACAGGCCCAGCTTCCTAATCCTTGGGTAGAAGGAAAGAAACAGTTTTGAATGTTTAGGGTTTTTTAAGAATTTCTTGTTGACAGACCATAGTGTTAACTTATTTTGAAAAATTATAATTACACTGCATTTCCGCTCAGCCTCTCCCCCTCCCCTTTTCCCCCTACCTCCACAATGCACCAATATCTGTTTTGTTTTGGTTTTTTTTTAAGGAACTAATTCATGTGCAGAGAACAATGGAGGCTGCAGCCATTTGTGTTTCTTTACACCCCAAGAGACCAGGTGTGCCTGCCCTATTGGCCTTGAGCTGTTGAGTGACATGAAGACTTGCATCATTCCTGAAGCCTTCTTAGTTTTCACAAGCAGAGCAGCAATTCATAGGATTTCCCTTGAAACCAATAATAATGATGTTGCTATTCCTCTCACTGGAGTCAAGGAAGCATCTGCTCTGGATTTTGATGTCTCTGATAACAGAATCTATTGGACTGATGTTAGTTTGAAGGTATTACTGACATGTGAATTCCCTGAATATAAAGCCACAGAGCAGTTACTTTGATCTAACAAAGGTCTCTGTTACATGATCTGTCCTGCAGTTGCTAATGTTGTTATTGCATTGCATCCAAGGAGACTCTTGGAGATGAAGACAGTTGCATTGTTGAATGCACAGTTGGGTGACAGGCATCTTCCTGCTTCAAATAGAAATCCAAAGTGGTGTCTGCTCGTACCAAATGCCTAAATCTTGGATGCTGCATGTGTTGCATCCATATATGTATCTATTGTAGAAAAGTTGTTTTCCTGTCATATAGTAATTTAAACATTGAGCTTGGCAACCCCCGAGCTTTCTATCCTCTTCCGGTTTTGACTTTGAAGGCAATCTTACTCAATATTAACATTTGGCAAGTGAACTTTATTATTTGCTGTTAGTCTGTGACTCCAGCTTGGCACAGAAAAGGCCAGGGAACATGTCCAGTGCCCTCCACACTGTGTTAAGCCCCTGCCTGCCCCAAGTTCTATCTTAGTGTGTTCCCCAGGAGTTTGACATTTCCTGTGACATATTTGGTTCACATCCAGGTGCATGCTAAAGTGATTGTTGTGCTGTTCATGTTACTTTGCTTTTTGAAGTGAATTAAGTAGTGGTAGAAAATGACAGATTCACTTCACTGGAACGGATTTCCTCTGTTTAGCCTCTTAATAGCTTTTCCAAGAGTAATCAAAGTTTCTTTGCCAATGTGCCTAAGCCACAATAGGGGAAAGCTCACTTTCAGTGACTGCAGGGTACATGCAGGTTCCATAGCCTCTCTGTGAGGACTAATGAGGGTTGTGCTTCAGCGTTAACAAGTGCTGCTTGTAATGTGGTTACCTTTCCTTCAGGAAGGTGCCAATGTAATAAATTCGCATACTGCAGACACAGTTACTAAATAAATCTCACACAAGCACATAGAGAGCTGGAGCTATGGTCATCTTAACCATTTACAGTGGAAAATATATTACTTCAACAGCGTCTGTGCATAGATCCCAGTCTCAACTCACTCTGTGCAGAACTGGAAAACATTTTACTTGTTTGTGGCCTCCTGAATTATCCAGCATACTGTATTTTCACATACGTATCAGCGTATGTTTCAGCGTGTCTAGATTTTCATTCCCCCTGTCCCCCCACCTCCTGCAGCTTAGCAGCAAGTAGTGTAACTTCAGAGCCCATAGTCATGTCCCTTTCCTTTGGTGACCACCGCTTCCCTGATCTCCTCTTGCCTCTGGTTATATAAGGACTCATTTTCAAAAAAGTATTATACTTTTTCTGAGATGTGAGTTATACCTGTAAAAATATACTACATGATTTCTGGTTTTGACAGTTACCTTTAAAAATACAAAATGTCTTTACCCTGATATGTTCGTTTATCAAATTATCAAGAAATTAATAGCTGAAATATTAACAGGTATGTAGAATGCTTAGTGTTGATAACAAGGGTGTGTAATTGTCCATTGGTCCTGGAAGTTACCAGTTATTTACCTGGGAGTTGTTCAGTGCTCCTTGTTAGGAGTGCCTTATTTATATGTGCACAGTCCTTGTTTTGTTGAATGTGCATAACTAAAATGTTAAATAACAAACTTGCTCCAGGTGACCGATCATGAGAAACAATTTAATTCAGATTTCTCTGAATAGAGATGTGTTTCTGAGACTTAAAACATTACAGTGAATCAAATTTTTTTTAAAGTGCAAATAGGAGAGAGGGAGTAGGGGCAAGGAAGAATCTGCAGATACATAGTGCTTTCTGAAAATCATATCCTCTAAAGACATCTTGGACTGGCCATCAGAAAACACTAGCTTTCTGAAAATTCAGGTCTTTTTATCCTGTGAATTGAATTGCTGTATCTTTTTTGACAACAGGTATCTATTTTAAAAAATGTAACACTGACTGATTTTTTTTACTAATTTCTTTTTGTACCCTGAACTTCATAATACTTGTTTTTTTATTATTTTAGTGGGGTATCCATAAATGCTGTAATATTTTTACACAATTGTTTTTCAGACCATAAGCCGAGCTTTCATGAATGGGAGCTCTGTTGAACATGTGATTGAATTTGGGCTAGATTATCCCGAGGGAATGGCTGTTGACTGGATAGGAAAGAACCTCTACTGGGCAGATACGGGAACCAATCGCATTGAAGTAGCCCGCCTGGATGGACAGTATAGGCAGGTTCTTGTGTGGAAGGACTTGGACAACCCAAGGTCTCTGGCTCTTGATCCTACCAAAGGGTAAGGGACAGTGTCGTTTTTCAAAGCTTTGTACGCATATTCTTCTACGTGACAACTTAATTGACACTTTATATAGCTCCATTTCTTCAGAGTCTTTGAAAAGATGAGAAACGCTCCACAACCCTATGGGTTGCAATGAAAAATTAAGAATTGTCAATCATATTTTCCTGCCTTTCTTTCAAAAAGGAGTACTGTAATACTACACATAACAACGTGTTTTTGTTTTTGGGGGTTTTTGTTTGTTTGTTTTTGGGTTTTTTAAAGAATAAAAATAAATAAATTTAGAAAAATCAAACTATGCACTAAACATAATCTTAACCTATAGCTGATGTGCTCTTTTTGTTCCACTTCTCGTTGCAGGTACATGTACTGGACTGAATGGGGAGGTAAACCTAGGATTGTTCGAGCATATATGGATGGAACAAACGGCATCACTTTGGTGGATAAAGTGGGTCGTGCCAATGACCTCACTATTGATTATGCAGACCAAAGGCTATATTGGACTGACTTAGACACAAGCATGATTGAGTCATCAAATATGCTAGGTAATCTAGTGTTATATTACACCAGCCAGTACAGAAATATGCACTGACCATAGGAAGGCAATTGAATAATAGGAAATTGGAATAATATAACTGATATTAAATCTGAGTGTATATTTTTATGAGAGGAAATGGAGAATTAAATGTTTAAGGAGATTAAAAAAAGCTTTCTAAATTAATAACCATATGATGATTTATAATGATGGTGAGATATGATGTTATTTCTGTGTATTGATATGAAATTGTCTTTGTTTTACCAAAGCAGAAGTGACCTCTGAGTTTCTCAAAGTGAGGACAACTTATAGGTTCACTGTAAACCACCCCTGACTTTTCAGTCTGGACACTAATTTTCTGTTGAAGTGTTATCTCTGTTTCCAGCTTCAGACTAGTTGTATTAGTTCAAAACCAAACTACTGCTTGCATTTCCTGCAATCTGAAAGGTTGTGCAGCTATTTCTGCAGTGTAGCATAACATGTTTTGTACACAACTTTACACATTTTCATATCTTCTATGTGAGTTTTGTTTATACATACAAGGGGTGTGCTAAGATTTACTAAACTTTCACATTGATACTGACATGATAACTAACTGGGTAAAAGAAGGGACTTCTGTTTTCTGCAGCTGACATAGAGCTTTTGTATTGTCCAGATGTTTTGTAAATATTAAATGGTCTTCAAGGTTTTAGCTGAGGCAGATATTAATTCCTTTTTGAGAAAAATGAGTTCACATAAATTTCCAAATATCACACAGTGAATCAAAGTTAGGATCAGAAATGGAGTCCAGAAGTTCCTGACCCAACATCCTATCCCTGTTCCATTTCAAAGGAGTGGCCTTTCTGAGATGGGAATTAATGCCTCTCAGATTCCAATGTAAAAATCAAAGTTTATGTGACAGAACATAATGGTATTTAAGCAAACTCATACAGGATTGTTACAGCAATGCTCTGATGGATGACATATATAATTTCCCTGCAACTCTTTTTTTTCTTTTTTTTTTAAATCTGTGAAAAGCTATCATTAGAGTGAGATTTTTTTTAAGGTGTTATTGTGTCTGCATATCTTCAGAGCATAGAGAATCTACTAAGCTTAGGAAAACAGAGTGATGCAGTTTTCGATTCCGAGGCTATCACTGATTTTGCATTTCTTGCATTTGTTGCTTTGGGATGGCAACTACCGAAGGGATGTTATTGTTTAGAAATTGCAGTAAGATTGTTTCTTTATGTTTTTTCCACCCAGGGTGCATTATCTATCAAAGCTCTCACAAGGCTTCTGCTTTATACTTAGAGAAACAAAATAGCCAGTGGCAAGCTTGAGCTAAAAACTGGTTATGGCACTGAGAAGAAACAATATTTAAATCATCTGTTTTAAATTAAACAGGTTCTAAAACTGAACCTACTGTTAACATTTATTTGTGGTGAGAAACTAGAAGGATGAGCGCTGAAGCCAATAATGTTGTATAATGTCTTTTTAGTTAGCAGATTATAAAGACTCAGGTAGACTTCTAGCAAGACAGCTCATCAGTTAAGGAAGTGTTGCTAGACTTGGCCAGTGTTATGTAGTGCTGGTCTCCTTGCCAGGAGAGATCTGAATGACTGTTGCTGATAGAAACGTCTACCCCACCAGCATAATAAATTCATAATAATATTTTCATAATAAAGCACTCTAAAGTGGATGAATGAATGCTGTCCCCGCTTAATCTTGGGCATTATAAACATTACCCAGCAGGAAAAAAAATCTCTCTTTTGAGAGATTTTCCTCCATCTACTGGCTATCCAAATTCAATTAGACAGCTTATCTGCTTCCTTCAAAAGACCCTATATCCTGAATTCATCATTGTGGACCAGAGTTGCTCTAAGAAATACCTGAAAGTATGCAGGATATCTGTGCCCCTAACTTGGACACTTTAGATGCCTAAAAGTAATTGGGAAGATTGCCTCTATATTTAGCTCTAGTGGTTTATAGGGAAATGCCTTCATGTTCTAGTTATTGGAGTTTTCATTTCTTCTCCAATCCTGGCTGAATGGGAGAGGGTGTGATGGAAAGTAGGGCAGGTAATTAAAATGAGGTGTTCTGTAGAATCTAGCATTGGACATTTGTTTGAGGCAGGAAGAGATGATGCTGATGAAGGCTACATCTTCTTCAGTTGATGTAAAGTGCAGACATTCATAGAGGTTTATGCTTGAAAAGGTTTAGGAAGGTGACTTACAGTAAGACTTAATGACTTCAGTAGTGCATCTGTGGCAGAGGCTATCTAATGCTCTAGAAAGTGTTAAATCTGTTGTGAATGTTGCTAACTGAGCCACTGAGTGTAGGAGTATTGCGATTTCTGACAAACAAATCGTTTCCTCATCTCTTGGGATAACTGTTTGTTAAATTGCACTGCAAAAGATTCGTGTTTCTTGAGTGAAACACCATAATTTCTGATAGCTGTTCCTCTGTGGATCTCAAGTTTGTTGTATGTTGTTGCTTTTGTGCATATTAATTGTTTTTTTAATTGTCCTAAGTGATTCCTGGAACTGACAGTATTTTTGAATACGTTTTCTGATATCTGTTTGGGATGATAAGTATGAGACATATAGAGTAGTATTTATTTAAATGATGATACAGTGGCAGTTCAAATTGCTCTATAGGCAAGAGGTTATCAGGATAAGGTTTTTGAATGCAAGTGTTTAGGTTACCTCTTGAGCAGATACTGCTTAATAATGAATCCCATGATGCCGTCTTGGGAAATGAGATTTTATTTTAAAACAGGAAGAAAAACTTTTTCATTATGCAAGTCACACTCTTCATTTCATGGCCTGGGAATTGTCCTTTAGTTGATTATCCTTATGTTTGCAGGACAAGAACGAGAAATCATAGCAGATGATCTACCTCATCCATTTGGATTAACCCAATACAGTGACTACATCTACTGGACAGACTGGAATCTTCACAGCATAGAAAGAGCAGACAAGACCAGTGGGAAGAACAGGACACTTATTCAGGGCCATCTGGATTTTGTGATGGATATATTGGTCTTCCATTCTTCACGTCAGGATGGCTTGAATGACTGTGTGCAAAATAATGGCCATTGTGCTCACTTGTGCCTTGCCATACCAAATGGATTTAGGTGTGGCTGTGCTGCTCATTATACCTTGGATCCCAACAGCAGGAACTGTAGTTGTAAGGCTTTTTGTTTGCTACTATCTTCTTCCATGCTTGGTGCTCCCAGGTGCTTGTGATCCATTTCAGTATAGAAAGGGAAGAGATATCACAAGTCCATTTCAAAGGTTCTATCTTTAAAGGTGATCTTTAAATATGAGGATGGAGTATGGAGTTTTATATCCATATTTGTGATATTAATTAGGAATGAAGATTTGTATTTCAAATCTTAGAAATAACAGCACTGTCAAGTCTGGTCTTTCTTGTTTTACTAGAAGTGCTTTCTAGGTGATTCAGCTGTGTGACTGAAGCTTTCCCCATCCTTAACTAAGTGTGTAATTGGGTGGAAGAGAAATTCTAAATAAAAAATGTCTTTTTCTCTTAAGTGTTTAATAAAGTCAGCAAAAATAACATCCAGTAAAACAGCCTCCGGAGTAGTCTATGCAATGTGCACATGCACTTGAAATTCATAGAAGTTTGTTTTCCCCCTGTGTGTGATACTATAAGCCTGCCAGTTTACCGGTTGTCCAATAAGAATTTAAATTTTTAGTAAAAATAGCACATGAATAGAAAACAGACTGTTGACTTAAAAAAAACCACCACAACCAAAAAAAACAGCAAAGCTTTAGGCATCCTGGCACAGTAGCGTATAAGGGAATTTTAACTGAATAAAAGAATGAGTTTGTGAAAGGCAGGTCCTGCTTGACAAATCTGATCTCCTTCTATGGCAGTATGACCCGCTTAGTGGATGAGAGAAAGGCTGTGGATGTTGTTTACCTGGAGTTTAGAAAAGCCTTTGACACTGCCTCCCACAGCATTCTCCTGGAGAAATTGGCTACTCATGGCTTGGATGGGTGTACTCTTCACTGGGTGAAAAACTGGCTTGGATGGCTGGTCCTAAAGGGTTATGGTGAATGGAGTTAAATCCAGTTGGGAGCCAGTCACAAGCAGTGCTCCCCAGGGCTCAGTATTGGGGCCAGTTCTGTTCAATATCTTTATCAATGATCTGGATGAAGGGGATCAAGTGCACCCTTAGTAACTTTGCAGACAACACTAAGTTGGGTGGGAGTGTTGATCTGCTGGAGGGTATAGAAAGGTTCTGCAGAGGGATCTGGACAGGCTGGATCGACAGACTGAAGCCAACTGTATGAGGTGCAACAAGACCAAGTGCTAGGTCTTGCACTTTGGTCACAACAACCCCCTGCAACACTACAGGCTTGGGGAGGAGTGGCTGGAAAGCCACCTTGTAGCAAAGGACCTGGGGGTATTAGTCAACAGGAGGCTGAACATGAGCCGGCAGTGTGCCCAGGTGACTAAGGCAGCCAACAGCATCCTGGTCTGTATCAGGAATAGTGTGGCCAGCAGGAGTAGGGAAGTGATCGTGCCCCTGTATTTGGCACTGGTGAGGCCGCACCCCGAATACCGTGTTCTGTTTTGGGCCCCTCACTACAAGAAAGACATTGAGGTGCTGGAGCATGTCCAGAGAAGGGCAACGAAGCTGGTGAGGGGTCTGGAACACAAGTCTTATGAGGAGCGGCTGAGGGAACTGGGGTTGTTCTGTCCGGAGGAGGCTGAGGGGAGACCTTATCGCTCTCTACAACCTACCTAAACGGGGGGGTCAGTCTCTTTTTTCCCCAGTAACTAGTGATAGGATGAGAGGAAAGGGCCTGAAGTTGTGCCAGGGGAGGTTTAGATCGGATATTATGAAAAATTTCTTCACTGAAAGAGTTGTCAAGCATTGGAACAGGCTGCCCAGGGAAGTGGTTGAGTCACCATCCCTGAAGGTATTTAAAAGACATGTAGACGTGGCACTTAGGGACATGGTTTAGCGGTGGACTTGGCAATGTTAGGTTAATGGTTGGACTCAATCTTAAAGGTCTTTTCCAACCTAAATGATTCTGTGATAATATAGGAAAAACATAGAAATATAGGAAGATCTGTGACTGTGTATTGTCCACTGTCACTGGTGTTACTTAAATTCCACGTGGGGAACATAGTTATTTTATAATATGAAAAGGAGATACTACCTGGGTGAGGGTGTGCACATTTACCCTCCAGAAGTACATAAAGAAACATTTTCAACTTAATAGCAAAAATCTGCAATTATGAATTACCTTAGTTTTCCCTGTGAATATAATTGTCTCTCTGGGATTTTGCCCTAAATTCTGTGCATTCTGTTTTGGTTTGTTTCAGCCCCTGACAGCTTCCTGTTGTTTAGCCAGAAATCTGCAATCAGCCGGATGATACCAGATGATCAGCAAAGTCCAGATATTATCCTGCCTATGCATGGTCTAAGGAATGTCAAGGCTATTGATTATGATCCCTTAGATAAATTGATCTACTGGGTGGATGGACGTCAGAATATTATAAAAAGAGCCAAAGATGATGGCACTCAGGCAAGTTTACATGGTGTATATAGTTTTGTGTCAGTCTTTTTGTGTGCTTTGTACTTTATGCTTGACTTTCCCCTTCCATCCCCTGCAGCAAGGAGTCATTGGTTTAAACTTTACTCTTGCCAGCACTTATTCATGTATATTTATATGTGAAAATTACAGAAGGCTTTTAGGATCATGATTTCAATTTATACACAAAGAAGTGTAATAGAATATAGTACATCATATGTATCTGAAGCTATAAGCCTTGAATTGTAATCTTTAGTTAAGGATGGTCTCTGAAGTAAGGCAGAGTCACTATTTATACTCAGGACAGATAAATTGTATTCTAAAATCAATATCGTACATGCCAATTGTGTGATAATATTGTCATCATTATAAAGCTCTCTCAAAATGAAAAATCTTAGCTATACAAGCTGTAGTTAAACCTGAGTGAATGTAGAGTTGATTGCTGTGCCAGATAGGGGTAGGCTTATCCACACGCTTAATTATTTTACTGTGCTGGAGACATTATTCTTTTGCGCTAGTTATTCACATAACAGTGGAAAGAAGTGTACTGTTCTTCCAGGCAGTGTTATGTGTTAACATAGCTTAACTACCAGGTCAAGATAACAGATTATTTAAAACTTATGGTTTGAAAAAGAATATAAAATTAAGTGGAAAATGGGCAAGTTATGTTTTCTTAGTTCTTGGCCAGTTGTATCTAAGCAATATGACATGATATCAATGGAAATGGACTGGTCTTTTCATGCATGTAGGGACTCAGAGGTTTTACAGGTTCCTTTAAAAGGAAGAGATGACGATTTTATTTTTTGGCCATTTCTTTTAAGATTGGGAGGAGGTATGTTGAGATGAGCAGATAGCTGGGTTGTGGTGTGGATGAATTTTGAAGAAGTTTTACTCTTGCTTTTTGGGATTATACTAGGTGCTAATTGTTATAGTCTAGCTTCCCTTCGGTACTTGCTAGGTGCAGATTGCAATGGTGGTTCATTTGGTCTGTGTTTTCCTCTACCTTGGTCACATAGCTTTGAAGATGCAGATTCCCTGCAAATTTTGACCTTCCAATTTTCACTAACTGTATTGTGGGTGGTTTCAGGTGTTTCTGGACCATCAGGTACATAAACCATGCTTTCTGTGCAATCAGTGTTCTTCAGTCAATAGTCAGAATAATTACTGGAAATTGTGTTCTATATGTTGTCTTGCAGCCTTTCACTGTCATGAGTACTCCAAACCAAAGCCAGAACCCAGAGAAGCAGCCACATGACCTCAGCATCGATATATACAGCCATACCTTGTACTGGACCTGTGAGGCCACAAATTCAGTCAATGTCCACAGGCTGAATGGCGAGTCAATTGGGATGGTGCTGCGAGGGGATCATGACAAGCCCAGAGCCATTGTAGTGAATGCAGAGCGAGGGTGAGATTACTTTCTGTACCTTGTACAAAGCACTCCTGGCATGTATGTCAGCTGTGTCAGTGAATCTTGTGTTGCATCTGTGTATTTTAAAAAGGAGATTGCGCATATTTAATTGTTCAGGATGCAGGTGACTGCTTGTCCAATTCTGTCTTTTAAAGGTATCCAGCTTTCTCTTCCTGTTTTCTCCTTTGCTGCCTCCTCTGGTGTACCAACACAGCCTTGTGGTTGGTTATAGTGAGGAACTAACCCAGGTGGGGAAAGCAAAGCAAAACCTTATCCTGTTCACTATATGAGTGCACAGTCCTGCCACCTAATAAGAAAAACAGGAGAGTTTACATTGTGTTTATATCAGCTGGGAATCTGGCTTATAAATATTACATCATCATAAAACAAATGTTTCCAGGGGAAAAAAGGGATCTCTCATATGATACTATTCCTGCTAATGTAATAGTATAAAGTTAAACAAACAAACAAACCCCTTATGTTCTATACATTTTTAAGTCAGTTCTGTCTTGATGTGTATCTCAAAAACTTCTGAAATGAATTAAAACAGGTAGGATGCACTAGAGTGATTTCCCACAGAAAGAAAATATGTTGTTCTTCTGCAAAGTGGTTTTGGTTAGATTCAGCAGACCCCATCTCCACTTCAGGTGGTTAGTAGCTTCATTATTAGTGGTCAAAGATGGACCTTTACTGTTCTCTTTAATAAGTTAGGTGCTTAAATCCCAATTTACCACTAAATGGCTTAGGATGTGCTTGACAGATGTTGAATGACAGTATTTCTGTAGTAACCAGCAACTCTATCTGAAGCATTTCTAGGATTGGTATTTTATGTAACACACAATGTACCCTGCCCAAAAACTGGTGTGGGGAGAGGGGTTTTAGAAGAAAGAGTCTAACCTTATTGGGACTAAGTCACTTGCACATAGTTTGTATTTATAAAAGCTTATCTGCTTTCTCTATTAAAATGGGAGTTTGGGTTTGTTGATCTCTCAAACTCTCAACTTTTCTAGTCAGGTTTTCAAATGATTTAAAGATTTGGTTTTAAATTAAAGGAGGAGAAGATGGGGAAGAGACCATGCTGAACAGCGTGACTACCTGGGAGAACTGAATGAACAACTTCTGCCTTAGTTCCAGAAATCCTTCCCTCCACCTCTCCCTTGACTGTACATTGTGACTGCTGCTTCTCCTCCTTGTGCCATCATGAAAAGCTATGCAGCAATGTAGCCCACTGTATTAGGGAGTTTGCCCATGTTATCCACCACTGAAAAATGGTGGACTTTTCCCTGAGGGAGTTCTCAGTTCATCATTTGGGTGCACAAACTCTTTTTTCCTTATGCAGAGGGAGGGCACAGACTGCTTCTGTTTGCAGCTGAACTGGCTTAGGTAGATGTAAAGAATTCATGGAACTAAGACATCAAGAACATGCCATCCTCAGTTGTTCTTCCTTCTGTGATCTTTGCTCCTCTCAAGTTTGGTAGGAACTTCTACTTGCTGAGGCAGAAGGCAACCCAGAAAGAGAGGCGGTGAGGGTTAATGTTTTTTGTCAGAAAGAGCTGCTGGGCTTTGATTGACAGATGGGGACAACTTTACCCAGGGACGGTTGCAGAAAGTCTGTGCTAGTCTCTTACAACCTCCACCTCCACTGCAGAAACAGTGCTGCCAGTGCTGAGTGCTGAGGCATTTTATGGCCTGGCATATTAAGGACAAATGCTATTCATTTCAGGATATCTCAATATGCCAGTTAGCAAATGTTTGGGGTTCTGCAGCTGACAGATCTGGATCTTCGCATCTGGGAGCAACAGTCACCGCAGTCATCCCTGTGTCAACCATTCCCACTTACAATGTATAAACTGTGTGCAAAGGTGAATTGCCTCCCTTCTGAAGCTCTCAGTTAAGTGGCTTGTGTCTTTGTTCTCAGGTACATGTACTTCACCAACATGCAAGAGCGAGCTCCCAAGATTGAGCGTGCAGCCCTTGATGGCACAGAGAGAGAAGTGCTTTTTACAACTGGGTTAATCCGACCAGTAGCACTGGTGATTGACAACAAATTTGGAAAGCTTTTCTGGGTGGATGCAGATCTGAAGCGCATTGAAAGCTGTGACTTGTCAGGTATGTGGTATGCAGTTAAATATTTGGAGCGGAGTGTGTGTATGTGTATAGGACATCATTCCCTCTTTGATGTTGACCCCAGTAACTTCTGTCTCCACTGTTGCCAGTTCTGTGTAGGCAGTCATAGATAACAGTTGCCGGTGGGCTCCAATCTTTGATGTGATTGGAATAAACATGTCTGTAATGATTGCCACACTCCAAGAGAGCCATTTGACTTTTGATGAAAGCAACTCTTGCAAGATCAGATTTAAATAGGTGTTGCCAGTGATGGAACTCCTAAATCATGCCACCCCCATGCCCTTTTTTTTTCCTTATGGTTTGAAAAGTTTGCATAACTCTTCAATTTTTCCTTTCTCTGGGGTTTACAGCTCAGTAAATCAAGGTAGCTTGAAAAATAAACAGAAGGAAGGGGAATGGCTTTCTTCTAAGATGGATGATAAGGCAGCTCATCTGGAATACCAGTGTTGCAAAACAGCAGAGAGATGTCAACTCATTGTAGTTTTTCCATATTAGTAAAATAAAGCATTACTCCATGTCCATAGCAATAGCACCAAATGGATCTTAGAGAGCGCTGTTCATCATTGACTTTTTAAAAGCACTTGATAGTACTGAAGAAGTGGAGAAATAGGCTCACTCATCTGGTGAGCAGTACAGCACAGAGAATCCAATGGCCCTGCTTTCTGACTAGTGATTATTTCTCTCATCATCATTCATGTATCATGAAATGAAACTCCCTTAAAGGAAGTACAGAGAGAAGTGAACTAGTGTGAGGGAGTAGAAGCTAGGCTGTTCTAGTGATTGGCATCTGCCATAAAATGCTGATTCTCCAATTTTTTGTGGCTTTTCTCTTCTTGCCATGTAGGCACATCCTTCCTTTGTGTTATAGTGAGTAATAAATAAACAGGAGAAAATTGCTCACTTTTCTACAAGGACAGTTCACTTTTGAGCACCTAAAACTGGCTCAAGGTCAGGCTCAGGTCTCTTCTGCCAGAGAGGGGGTAAAAACATGAAGCTGGTGTTGGGAAGGTAAAGCAGCCCATGTCTTTCATTGGTTATCAAGCTGGATAGGGGGATATTGTCAAACTGCCTGTGTAGCCACAAAATGTCCAATCCAGGATAGGTGTCAGAGAACCTACAAAAATTTGTAGGAGAAAAGAGCATAGGAGTGTTTGAGAAGAAAAGATTGACAGAGTGGGACACGTAACACAAAATGCATCAGAGGGTTTTGTCTAGTGATGAAAGAAGTGCTGTAGGAGGAAATGCAAAAGTAAAAGAACAAGACAGAGGAGCAGCATATCATGCAGGTATTGTGGCTGAAGTGGTACCCATAAACACAAGAGAAAGAGAAGAGGCACTAAAGAAGATTATGTGGAAATCATATGGTTTGCGAGAGGGGGAATATACCAGGGAGAAGTTAATGAATTGAGAAGGGAGGACAGAGTCAGTAACTAGTGCTGCTACTGATAAAAAGTGGCCCCCATGTAATAGGAAGTCATATTACTTGATGAAGCTGTAGCATAAAGTGGACCTAGCTATGCCTAGGCCCTCTAATTGTATGTACATAGGCATCCTGCATACAAGGTTGAGTCACAGCTAGCAGATGGGGGCAGGCATGGGGCAGGTGCTTCTTGCTTGTCATGTTACAGGTTGGAAGGTGGACTGTGTCCTTGCATAGTACAGCATAAAACGCAGGGGAGTCTGTTTAATATTGTTTTAGATCTAAGTCTTGAATTAATAAGACCTGACAATATGACTTAGGTAAACTGATATATTATATATCAATAAATCAGCAGCTAAGCCATCACATGCTGGTAATTGTATTCTGTGATTGCAGCTTCATTTGTATGCATTCTTCCTTTTTGTGACACTAAAACTCCATGTAAGCATATGTTTGCATACTGAATATATATTTTAATCCAATTCTTTGGATCTTTTTACAGGGAAAACTAAACTTTCTCTGATTAGTATTGAACCAAAGCTTTTAGTGCACATTTATTTGATGGTGTCACAGCTAAAGAATCAAACCCTATAAGTAAGATAAAAGCAGGGGAAAGCTACAGGATAAAAAGAAAACAATATTGATTAACTAGAGGATATGTATCATGTAGCCAGAAAACTGTGGTTGTATTTGACCCTGCAAAGCCCACTGTAATTTGACTCACTGAGCTGTTGATTTTTTAAAAGAGTTAACAACATATTTTTATTTTAAAATGTTTTGCAGTCTTGCATCACAACTTGAAGAAATTTGACAGACAAAGTTATGTTGGTTTGAATTAGTTCCTTTTAAAAGTATTTTCTGAGCAAAGCACTTCAAAATGGGCTAATATTAGCAATATTTTAGCATAATCTGAGGCTGCTGAATAAATTGGACCAAAATTGTGTATAGCATCCTCCATGCCAGTTAGGCTGGGCTAGACAACCTTATTCCCTTGTAGGCTTGGGGAGATGACATGGTTATGGAGGTTTCTGAAGCTTGTATTACACCCTGATTAACAGCATCCTGCTAAATCATGGAATAACCTCAGATGTCCACTGCCTAACTTTCAGAGTGGGATGAAAGAACTAAAAACCTGTCTAACAGTTTTCTTTATGAGGTTCTTGAATTTTTCAGTTAGAGTTGTTGATACTTTTTACATATTCATATCTGCAAATAACTTGTCTGCCACACCAGTCAGTTGAAAAGTAGTGTTTTATATTATGTTGAAGTGACTGGAAAAGCTATAAAATTGCTGCAGTGAAAATGTGCTTTGTTTTCAATTAGACTTCAAATAGAGGTGTGTCTTTTCAGTTTAATGTTCTTTATATTTAATTATTTATTTCCATCTTGAAAAAAATATACATCTGTTTCATTCCTGGAATCAAAGTATTTAATTACTATGGAAATACAATACTTCTTTACTTGTAACATGTTTTCACTTCTTTTTTCTAACCGTATTGTTATATATTTTCTATTTTCTAACCGTATTTAACTGTTGAAAATATCCTTTCATTTATTCAGATCGAGTTTTTAATTTTGATCATTCTTTTAAACAACAATTTAATGGTGTTATCCAGTGCTATAGGTGCCCTTTGCCTCTCCTTTTAAAATTATTCATTAATAATTTGGACTGTAACTTACTCAAGATCAATTCCAACGTAATTATCGTACAGATTAATCACCTTATCCAGTGCTGTCGCCAGCAGCTTCTCAAATCACCAATGTTCAGCTTTTTGCAGATGAGGGAGAAAAACGATGATGCTTGATGTACTCCCCCAAAAACCGTTAACGTAGCCTGTTTAAGCCTGTATTTCAGAGGCTGTTCAAGTAGGCTAGGATTCTAGCAGGACTGCTAGCTTGCAAGTGTCACCTGACATCTCATGTATTCATGATTTTAGGACGCCTTCAGGATATCCTCCAGGAAACCAGCTTGCCTTTTATTTCTAAATGGATGAGCAATTTAGCACTTAAAAAATCATGAAGGCAGAAGGAGTTTTCTTTATATTGAGTTGAAATGAGGCTTTCCTATTCTTGTATGCAGTAGAAAATTGTGCTTTTGGTTCAAAACGTGAGGCTTAGTCTGGCAAAAGGACAGTTGTCTTTGAACATCCAATGACACTGAACCTCACAAGAGCTAAAGGGTGCTCAGCAAGTTGCAGGGCAAATGAACAAAGCACCCTGTGCTTTGTTCACTGAGAACCTTATTCTGTCAAAATGTTTCCTAGTATTTCTAGACCGTTAGGACAAAGAACATCTCAGGAACTGCACTGCTAGAGAGTAGTACTAAGGGTCAGGTTTAGTGCCCATTTAGTGAAATTAGTGAAGGTGCACTTATGTTCTTTTACTCTTGCAAGAGTAAAATCTGGTGGTATATTGGAAGTGTGTATAATAATAGACACATCAGATTACAACCAGGACTGTAGTGTCACATACAGTTCATGCATGTTTCTTCTGAAAAGAGAAGAAAACAAAGATGTCTTCCTCATTGGTTTGGAAACAAAATAAATTCAGGGCTAGAGAACTCCGGTTGCAAGTCCAAGAATTTATGAGCTCTTTGCAACTAAATTTGATTTGAATGCGAGCTGTATGTCATGACAGACAAGCAACAGTCATTGCAAGTGGTAATTTTATGTGCAAAACTAATAGGATCTGTAATTGAAATAAGTGTTACATTCTTATGCTTGGCTGAGCTCTACATAATTTATGCAGCAAATGAGTTGAATCCAGTGCTTATAGCATTTTTATTATGCATCCAGATTCTATAATCTCATTTTGTGTAGATATTCAAAACTTTTATTTTTTAAATGCAAGCAGACTTAAAGGCAATGCACACAGCATGGGCAGCAAACAAGGGGAGTTGGAAGCCACTGTGCTGCTAGAAAACTACGAGCTTGTTGCCATTACTCAAATTTGTTGGGATGAATTCCATGACTGGAGCGCTGCTATCAATGACTACAAACTGTTCAGAAGGGACAGGTGAGGAACAAAAGGCAGAGGTGTTTCCCTTTACGTCAAAAAATGGATAGAGTGTGAAGAGCTGTCTCTGAAGGATAGCCATAAGCAGGTCGAAAGCTTATGGGTAAGAATCGGGGACCGAGGCAACAAAGGGAACCCTGTGGTTGGTATCTGCTACAGGCCGCCAGATCAAGGAGAGTCTATTGATGAAGCCTTCTCACTCCAGCTACAGGAGGCATTGCGCTTGCAGGCTCTCATCCTGCTGAGGGACTTCAGCCACCCAAACATCTCCTCGAAAAATAGCACGGCAAGCTGTAAACAATCCAGGACATTCCTGGAATGCATTGAGGATAACTTCTTAAGCCAGGTAATGGACAGCCCTACCACAAGGGATGCGATACTGGACTGTTGGTCACCACAGAAGTGAGCTAATTGGTGATGTCCAGATTGGAGGCAGCCTGAGCTGCAGTGATCATGCACTGGTGGAGTTCGCAGTCCATGGGGCATGCAAAGAGTGGAGTCAGGACCCTGAATTTTAGGAAAGCAAAATTCCAGCTGTTCAGGGAGT